CTGACGCGCCTGGTTGGCAGTTTTACCACCCCACCTCGCGCCGTGTCTTCCCCTCTCAGGACGTCACGTTCGACGAGCCGGTTCCCTTTTACCGTCTCTTCCCCTACCGCACTGCCCCTCTCCCCCCCCCGCCGCTCTTACTCGCTCCAGGTGCTCCCCAGGTAGACCCCCTCCCCACTCCCGGTACTGCTCCTTCAGGTGTGTCTCAGGTACACCCTCCTCTCTTGCCTGCGCCAGTTGAGGTCACTGGTGACTCAGGTCCTGCTGAGGGTGGTCCTGCTTGGGGTGCTGCTACTGGGGGTGCTGAGCCTTGGGGTGCGGAGCCTGGGGGTGCTGAGCCTAAGGGTGCTGAGCCTGGGAGTGCGGAGCCTGGAGGTGCGGAGCTTGGGGGTGCGGAGACTTGGGGTGCTGAGTCTAGGCGTGAGGAGTCTGGGGGTGCTGATCCTGGGGGTACTGAGTCTGGGGGTGCTGCACCTGGGAGCGCTGAGGCGTCTGGTGAGCAGTCTCCTTGGGGCAGCCGTCTCCGTAGTCGCTCCGCTAGTACCTCGCCGCTGCACTCTCGTCGTCGACTCCCTCTCTCCCCACAGCAGCTGCGTGAGTGGTACGTTGGCCGTCAGGGTCGCGCTGCTGGAGCTAGGGGCCCTGCTGCGAGAGGCGCTGGAGCCGATGACTCTGCTACTAGAGTTGTTTCTGCTGGAGGTTCTGGAGTTGCTGAGGGTGCTTGGAGCTGCTGCGGGTGCTGGTGCTAGAGGATCTGGAGCTGGAGGTTTTGGAGCTGTTGAGGGTACTGGCGCTTGAGGTCCTGGAGCTGCTGCGGTTGCTGGCGCTGAGGGTTCTGAGTCTGCTGTTGCGCAGTCTCCTTGAAGTAGCCGCCTTCGTCCGCATGTACCTCTCACCTCTCAGCAGCTGCACGACTGGTACGGTCGCCGTCAGGGTCGCGCTTCTAGAGCTCGGCTCTCTGCCGTTGGAGGTACTTCTGCTGCCGTCACTGGAGCTGGAAGTGGTGCTGGTCCCGGAGGTGCTCGTACTGGAGGTACTGGAGCTGCTGGGGCTGGAGGTGCTGAGCTTGACGGCGCTACTGCTGGAGACCCTTGGTCTGGGGGTGCTGCTGCTGGTGACACTGAGGCTGGGGACCCTGGGACTGGAGGTGCTGGTTCTGAGGGTGCTGCTACTAGTGGAGCTGGTCCTGGAGGAACTGCACTGAGGGGTCTGGTGCTGCTGGAGGTGCTAGAGCTGCTGAGGGTGTGGACCTGCTGGTGCTGGTGGCACTGCACAGCCGCGCCTGTTCTTTGCTCCGCCGTCTCCGTCGTCTAAGCCACCGTCTGACTCTGTACTTCGACAGGTTCTTAGTCTCCCTTCGTCTACTGGTCTTCCGTTACAGCCTGGCTCACCGCTGCCTGCTCCTTCTCCATACACTGAGCAGACAGGGGGTCTTAGTGAGCGTCGTGAGCCTGCGTCGCGTCCTGTCTTGCCTGTCCGTTCTGGTCGTTTCGGTCGTCGTGTTCCTCGTTCGCGTCAGCTGGTTATCCCCGGCACCCACCTTGTAGTTCGTCGTCCTTCCTCTCCTCTGCAGCGTGTTCCCCTCCCGTCCCCTCCTGTGTCTTCTCTACCTACCGTTCCTGAGCCTGAGTCTGACCGCATTCGTGCTGCTAGCCCTACTGTCACACGTCTGTTAGCCACAGTTGTCACTGACCCGTCGTTTGAGTCTGCTGCTGCGTCTGCCTTAGTCGTTGAGCTTGTTGACTTTGCTGCTGCCTGTCGTCTAGACTACGCCGCTAGTCTTGTTGCTGAGTCTGAGTCTGTCTGTCCTCCGTCCGTCGGGGGTGAGTGTGCTCTTGGCACGGACGTCCTTGAGGACAGGCAGGAGGACCTTGAGTGTATTGCAGCCGCTGCGCCTCATCTCGTGTCCATGCTGCTTGCCCCTAAGGGAGACCCGGATGCTCCAGACATCCCGACCCCGTGCTCTTACGCTGAGGCGATCGCGAGTGAGTACTCCTCTCAGTGGCAGACACCCATGGACGCAGAGATGGCATCCTGGAAGTCCACAGGCACCTACGTCAACGAGGTTCCCCCTCCTGGGGCGAACATCCTCAGTGGCATGTGGATTTTCATGGTGAAGCGGCCGCCAGGTTCTCCGCCTGTCTTCAAGGCTCGTTACGTTGCTCGAGGTTTCAGTCACCGAGAGGGGGTTGACTTCTTCTAGACCTTCTCCCCCACCCCGAAGATGACCACTCTTCGGGTGCTGCTGCACGTTGCCGCTCAGCGTGACTACGAGCTTCACTCTCTTGACTTCAGCACAAGTTTCTTATAGGGCAGCCTACACGAGGAGATCTGGCTGCGCCGCCCTCCTGGCTTCACTGGGTCGTTCCCTCGTGGTACCCAGTGGAGCCTCCGGCGGCCGGTCTACGGTCTCCACCAGGCGCCACGTGAGTGGCACGACACACTGAGGACGACACTTGCAGCTCTTGGGTTCGCGCCTTCTACTGCTGACCCGTCGCTGTTTCTGCGCACCGACACTTCGCTGCCGCCATTCTACATCCTCGTGTACGTTGACGACTTGGACTTTGCCACTGCGGACACTGAGGCTCTCGCCCTGGTGAAGTCGGAGCTGCAGAAGAGAGACACGTGCACAGACCTGGGTGAGCTACGCAGCTACCTTGGCTTGCAGATCACCCGGGACAGAGCACGCCGCACCATTACACTGACTCAGTCACACATGGTGCAACAGGTCCTTCAGCGCTTCGGCTTCACCTGGTCCTCGCCACCGCACACTCCTCAGGCTACAGGTCACTCGCTCTCAGCTCCACCTTCGGACGAGTTCGTAGAGCCGAGTGGTCCTTACCCAGAGCTATTGGGATGCCTCATGTACCTGATGACCTGCACTCATCCTGACCTTGCGTACCCTCTTGGCCTTCTCGCTCGCTACGTGGCTCCTAGTAGGCACCGACCGGAGCACATGGCTGCTGCTAAGAGGGTACTGCGCTACTTGTGCAGTACATCGGGCATGGGGCTCGTGCTTGGAGGGCGGAGCCCAGTTGTCCTCACTTGGCACTCGGACGCTTCTTGGGTTGACGACCTGGCTACACAGCGGTCGTCACAGGGTTACACCTTCAGCCTTGGCTATGGCTCAGTTTCGTGGCGGTCTACATGCTCGTCTTCTGTTCTCGGCTCCAGTTGTGAGGCTGAGATCTACGCCACAGCCATGGCTGCACAGGAGCTACGCTGGCTCACCTACCTGCTGACCGACCTGGGAGAGCAGCCTCGTTCTCCTCCAGTGCTGTACGTAGACAACAAGGCCGCCATTGCCTTGTGTCAGGAGCACAAACTGGAGCACAGATAGAAACACATCGCTCTGCGTTACTTCTTCGCTCGAGAGTTGCAGCAGCGAGGTCAGCTTCGTCTTGCTCACGTGGCCACTCGGGCCAGCACTGCTGATATATTCACCAAGGCACTTCCGTCTGGTGATCATCAGCGTTTCTGTACTTTGTTAGGCCTGGTGCCTACGTTTCCTCACTTGCTATAGACCTTGATTGTACTGTGATCTATATGTATACCTGCTTGCTTGCTTTGCTAGGTAGAGATCAATTTGATGCTGTTGTTGCATATATACCTCTGCATGTGAACTAGACTTGTGGCCCTTTGCTTGTGCTCAGTGTGTGTGGTGACGTTGTGATCCACCCTGAGCTTGCTTTCCTTCTCTTGACTGGTCTTGTGACCCCTTGCTCTCCCCCACTTTGCCTATGGGGGTGTGTCAAACTATGATAATGCTTGTGCTGTGTAGGCTGTAGTGGGGTAGCCCATAAGGGGTACAACCTAAATTAGGGTTAGCATATGTACCCACATCTCTGTTCAATGCACTCATTCCTGCTGCTAGATTCTAACACCCTTAGCCGTCCGCGTATTCTTTCTTTTGTCGATATGGAGTCGAGTCCCGACGCCGAATTCGGATGACTTTCCTCTTTGTCACCGAATGGGTCGCGGACTCAGCTTCACTCTCGAGTGGGACGATTTCGCCGTCCTTCGCGACCACAAGAGAGAGTTCAACGAGCGCTGCTTGGGATTCGGCATCAGGTGGGACTCGAGTAGTCGCGTTGGGTAGATGTCGGCGCCGACTAACACTAGATTGGCGCATAGGGTAGATGCCGGCGCCGTTGGGGGTCGCATTGTCGTCGGTTGTCCTATGACTTACGTCGGCGTACGCGGTATTTGGCATAGACCTCGTCCAGGAACTTGACCAGCGTAGCAAGCGTCGACCACGTACAGTCGGCGTTTGACGTAAGGTAGATGTCGACATGGTAGCGTTTGCTCACCCACCCTTTATGCCCAATCGGGCGTTCAGGTACGCTTGGTTTCGCATTGGGTTAGAGGACCAGCGGTTGTGGGTAATCGGAGTCGGCCCACTTCGAGTGGCCATGAAGGCCGCCGACCATTCTTGCTTTGCTACGGTTTTCGACGCCGACATCACCGCTATCCCGTTGAGAACAACGTGAGCTGTCTCCCCCTTGTCCAGTTATCGTTTTGTTTTGTCACATCATCGCCTAATGTTGTGATCAACGCCGTCGTGAGTTGCATGTGCAGTGGTGGTCCGCTTCCAGGATCACACTGCAGCGTCATAGCCATCCTCTACCCAGGAGATTTGTTGAAGGCTGAGGGACAGGTGTGCAGGATCTCAATCCGGCACATCGATCCGCAGACCGGTAAACTGTATCACCGCGACGAGGCCGTCCGCATGCTGAAGTGAGTTGTGAATTGTCGTCGATGTCCCGCTTGTTAGTCGCCGAGGGTATCACACGCTGATCGCCTCCCTCTACTACGGTGCTTCAGGTTATTGCGCACGGCTGCCTAGCCGAGCTGGGGCGTCCTGATAGGAAGTGGGACGGGGCGCCGCCATCACAAGCAGTGGTGGATGACAGGCTCGTCGACTGCGACCACCCTATCCGCGATGTGAGTTGCACGTTTAAGCATTAAGGGGTTGCACGTTTCTGTATGCCACGCTCCTAATGTTCCGCGCGTGCCGGTGTTGTATGCAGAAAGTGCCAGACACAGTGTCGGACGGGCATGTCGGTGTTGGCATGCTTGCCGCGACGTCGTTTGGGTGGGTGGCGAAACGGATGGACCTGCTGACGGGTGAGAAGGGCTGTAGTGGGGTGAGCATCGAGAACATCAAGACAAAGGGGCTGAGGACGTTGCGCGACAACATGGTGGAGTACATCTGCAAGCGCATCGCCGAAAAACGATCTGCGGCGCCGACTTCTCAAGCCGTCGGACCCGCCAACAGTGCGATTGATGACGACGGCGCGGAAAGACAGACGGCGCCCCAAGCAGCAGTTGCCGCCCAGCATCAGGGGGACGCGAGGGTATCTACTAAAGGAGGAAACTGTGGAGGAGGAGGCGACGCAGCGGCATGAGCAGGAAGGAAGGAAGAGGAGTCGGAGTCGGATTTGGAGTCAGAGTCGGAGGAGGAGGACAAGGAGGTGAAGGAGAAGGACGAGAAGGAGGACGAGGAGGTGGAGGAGAAGGACGCGAAGGATGAGGAGGAGGAGGACGGGAAGGATGAGGAGGAGGGGGTGGAGGAAGAGGTGGAGTACGAGGTGGAGTACGTAGATGGTACGGTTGAGGTGGGAGCGGCGAAAAGGGCGGTGAGGTCGGTGGATGAAAAGAACAAGGAAGAGGAGGATGACGATGCGGGTAATGCTACAAGGTCGGCAGAGGTGGGGAAGGAGAAGGAGGAGGTAGGCGTGGAGGCAACGACGGAAAAGGGCCAAGAGGAGGCGGCCTGCGAGGGAAGTGGGAAGGTGTCGGTCGACGTCGGCGAAGGGGCGAACATCACGGGCGTGCAGGAGACGGGGGAAGCATCTGGTCGGCAGGGTCCTGAAGACGACGTCGAGCAGTTGCGACGGGAGAACTGGTTGTTGAAGGCAGAGAATGCTCGGCTGGAGACGTTGCTCAGAGAGGAGAAGGCTCGGTTGGACAGGTTTTTTGTTGGGATACGTGGACTCATCGACAAGCTGCAAGTTTTGGCCGACCAGGTCACTGTGTCCGACCGGACTGCAGCGAAACGGCTGCAGGACGCAACGTCGGCCATGTCGGCGACCATCACGGGCAACATCACCAGCAGCTTTGACAAAGCGTGGAAGGCGATGAAGTCCTTCGCGGAAAAGGCGTCGGCGTGGTTGTTGGACTTCAGCAATCCGGAGGGAAATATGGCATATAAACGTGCAAAAGCCGTCTCCGCCTTGGCCGACCACGTGGATGGGGTGGTGGGCGAAGCGAAGAGGGGTTTGGAGGAATACATCTCCCAACACCTATCTGCCGCGCAGGTCAACATCGCCACCACTGTGACTCACAGCTTCGCCGTGCAGCCGCCGCCTCCGCCTCAGCCCACACCGCCCGCGCCAACGCCCGCCTTCCCAGACGAGCTCTTGAAGTCGTTCAAGGCGGACGTCTTGAAGGCGGTGACGGAGGCCACCCAACAATCGTTCGTTGCTTCCAGGATGAAGATCATGATCGAGATGATCAGCACTGTGGCGCCTGGTCGGCGTGGGTCGTCGCCGTCGGCCAATGACGCCAAAGCCGTGCAACGGAGGGAGGCCGACAAGCAGGGCCAGAAGAGGGCGGGCGGCGGAGACAATGCGGTCAGCGTGAAGCGGAGCAAGGGAGCGGACGGGAGCCGCGGTCCTGTCGGCTCAAAGCCTGCTACTAAGAGCGTGGTCGACCAGCTGAAGAAGAAGGCGGGGTGGAAGGTCATAAGGTCGTCGCACAGCAAAGGAGATGGAAGCGGGGGGGCAGAGGGTGGCCATGCCGACGAGGTTGCCGCTAAAGTCGCGGGACCGAAAGGCCTGCCTTTGGTCACCGAGCAGACCCATCCTCAATCGAGCGGTGGGAAAAGCGAGAGCGACAAGGAGATCCCAACAGCTCGGACGGCGAAAGATGGCGGCGCCAGAACCGTCAAGGGACCGTCCGTCGTGGTGGTGGGGTCCACGTCGATTCCCCGTAACCCCCCTGCGGCTAGCAGCGCGCCGGCCGGCCAGTCAGCTTTCAACAACGATGGGCCGGCCCTTGCGGCCCCTCCAGCTCCAGTAGGCCCGTCTGCCGCCATGGGCGAGGCGAAGGATGCTGCGGCTAGGGGAGATGGTCCGTGCACCAATAAGCTGCCCGCAGGTGGGGATGCGCTCAGGGACTTGCTCCACCGCATGGAGGCCCATCGCAAGGACGTGTAGCAGCCTCCCGTGGTCGACGCCGCCCCTGCCAAAACAGCACGTCGCTCCGTCACTCCGCAGGTCGTTGGCACAACGTCCGGTGCCCCACCTGTCGCGCCTCTGGTCGCCGCCCGACCGCCTGCGGACCCAAAGTCCGCAGTTCTTCGCGCCCAGTTAGGCGCACGTACAGCGGCAGTGCCACTAATGACCCAGCCGGAACCCGGCAAAAGCGCAACGCCGACGTCAGTAAACGCGGCCGCACCGACACCCGGTGCAGCTGTGGTCAATGTGGCGGCGGAGAAGGGTGTGCATGCAGCGCTAGCCACCGGCGGCCGAGCCGGCAAAGACGCCGACATCGCTGCCATCCAAGCCCATTTTGAAGCAGCAAAACGCATTGAGCACGCCCCTGCTCTGGCCATCATGGACACGGCGCATGTGGAGCCGTCGGGGACTCACGGAGGGAGTTCGGCGGAGCCGACGACTGCAACGGATGCTGTCGCCGAGAGAAATGCGGGACGGAAGGGGAAAGATGACACTGGGAAAGGGAAGGCGTTTGCTCAGAGGAGAACACAGGCGATGTCGGCGGGGAAGGAGATGTCGGACGAGAAAGGAAAGAAGGCGGAAGGGAATCAGGACAAGACGGGCGGCAAGGGTAAGTCGGCAAAGAAGAAGGAGAAGGCGGAGGAGGAGGACGAGGCGGTCGGCGAGGGAAAGAAGGAGCATGGACGAAGGGGTCATGGCATCCGCCACGACAAGTCGGGCAACGGGCTAGGTTGGGTGGGGAATCGATACATAGGCAAGTCGAGAGACAAGATGGAGCTGGCCTATGAGCACTCGATTGCGTACGTCGTCTACGATGGCTACGTGAGCAAGGTGCTCATGGACGAGCTCACCGTCTTGAATCCAGGGGAGTTGGAGAAATGGAAGGAGGTGTGGGAGGAGGTCAATTTCTTGCCGACTGGGATGTGGACGGTGATGTGGGCCAGAGGCTTGTGCCATCCAAAAGCAAGGTAAGACGGATACTGATCTGCCGAGTGCTGTCGACTAAGTCGGTGTCATAATGCTAATGTTGACAAAGTCAATGTCGTTTTAATGTATTTGCGCGGCAGGATCGACGATATACTCGGCAGGTACCGTGGGTACACGAGTTGGGGTGATGCGCTTCACGACGTGCTCTTGCCGGCGATCTGGTTCCCCATCGTTCAAGACACGAAAGAAGGCCAGGCGGAGACGGACGCTGTCATGTCGGCAATGATAAATCGCGTGTCAATGTGCGCGGCGTTTGGGAAGGTCGCAGCGAGCGCGGCGAGGAAGGCGGGAGAGTCGGATGAGAAGACGGAGATGGCGGCCCAGGCGTTAGCGGCCTCCGCTTGCGCCGTCTGGTGCTTCGTGGAGATGGGGGCGTCGGTGCTCGGTGCTGTGGGCAAAGGGAAGGCGGCGGCGATGGTGGCAGGTGTGGGTGAGAAGACGGCTGAGGCCTTCAGGAAGGTGATGCACGCGGTGATCGACATAGCGTCCAATAGGCAGCCACCCGCAGGGGAGGTTGCACAGAACATCGCACCGGCGCTGCAAGGTCATGCAGTAGACAGGGCCTTCAAGGAAGGAGTTGTGGGAGTCGAGGCCGACATGATCGCTAGAGCGACGGTCGAGACCTTGGCGTTCTGGGGAATGTGCCCCGTTGTCGGGCCCAACCTCAAAAAGCACGGCATCGATGTGTCGTGTGACGCGCAGATGGACTACGATATAGAGCACAGGGGGAGGAAGGGGGAGAAGGTCAAGCAGGGCAAGGGCAACAAGAGGAAGAAGAGGCAGACGGGCAACCAGGGCATGGACAGTACGGAGGCGTAGTCGGGGGGCGGAGGTGTTCTGGTTGCTAAGGTGTATGACATGGGCGGCGCTAATAGCGTAGTATTTCTGTTGGATCCTATGTTGGTTGCGCATTTAACTCTTTGTTTGTGTTTGCTTGAATGCTGTTGAAAGGATGAAACAAGCTAACTAGAAGCCTTGTCGGCGAGGGCAGGGACAGTACGGAGGCGTAGTTGGCGAGCAGAGGAAGCGCTAGGTGTTGTTCTTGCTATGGTGTATAACATGTTGGTATGGCCGGCGCCGATTTCGTAGTAATTTAGATGAAACTTTTTTTTTTTTTCAGTTTGATTTACTTGTAGTTTGCTTTTGGGATGATATATATCACTGTCCTCACAGAAACATGCTACTCGGTGATGAACGATGAGCCTTGTCGGCGTTTGGCGGAGTCCTTCAACATGTCGACGTCGACTTGTGTCTGAAGACATTGAGTGTTTGTCTGTCTGCAAGGATAGTAGTTTTGTTTTTTACTGGGCAACTGACAACATTCATCATTGCGGGGTCATGTGGGTTCGCAAGGGCCCTGTTGTGGGCTGTTTACAACCGGAACAGTAATTGCAGTATGGGGGGTTAAAGTCGGCCACAATTAATAGCATCAAACTATGCACACGCATATCCTACAAGGGTCTTCATGCCGACTTCTTGGGCTTGGTCGGAGGACGGTGCACCAGTGCGGTCGGCTTGGCCGGTGTTGTCGACTTGGCCGGTGCGGTCGGCTTCGCCAGGTCGGCCTTGGTCTTCGGCATCTGCTCCTCCCAGGTGTCTGGAAACAAGGTAGCGACCCAAGCACTCGGGTTCAGGTTGAGCGCCACAAGCGCACAGGCGAGGCGTAGCTTTCGAGACCGTCTTGGGGGCAAGCCCCTTGACTCCCATTCCAGACTCTTTGGACAACGTCGGTGCCGTTCCCGGTTTGAGTACCGTGAGGGCATCGCAGAAGGTCCCAATGCCTGGTGTCGCGATCTTGTTCAGTGCATCGACCACGGCTTCGGTGTCGGCATCGCCGTCGCTCGCGCGTAGCTGGCGCACCGCATCCATGACCTTCAGCATGCGGCGCACCCTCATGTTGAGTGCACCCTGCCTCGCGCCTTTGAGGAGGGTGTGGCGGTCGACGAGTCCCGGCTCAGCGACCCTATCGCAAAGATGACGGGTGTCATTTGCGGTGGCGGAGTTCCAGAGGTGCCAAGCGCGCACGGTCTTTGCCTACCGCCAAGGTTGCACCACGTTGAGCTCGTAACTAGCCTCCTCGTCCGTCTGTGGGGGTGGCGAGGGTTTCTCATCCCCTCTCTTGGCTCCGGCTCCCGTGTTGGCCAAATCCGCGGAGCCACCCTCGCTCGGAGCTTGTGCGGTTGTCGACGGCGGATGTTAGAAACAAGAAGTGATCAAGTAGAAACATTTGGGAGTACAAGCATGAAACCCTAGAGAAATGTACCCCCTAAAGGCTAACCCACTGTAGCCTACAAAACAGAAACATATACAATGTTTGACACACCCCCATAGGCTAAGTGGGGGAGAACAAGAGGTCACAAGCCCAGTCAAGAAAGACAAAGCAAGCTCAGGGTGGATCACAACGTCACCACACACTCTGAGCACAAGCAAGAGGCCACAAGGCCAGTTCACATGCAGGTATATATATATAGATCACAGTACAGGCAGAGTCTACAACAAGTGAGGAAAAGAGGGCACAAGCCCTAGCAAAGTGCACAAACGCTGATGATCACCAGACTGAAGCACCTTGGTGAATATATCAGCAGTGTTGGCCTGAGTGGCCACGTAACGCAGACAAAGCTGACCACGCTGCTGCAACTATCGAGCCAGGAAGTAACGTAGAGCGATGTGCTTCGTTCTTTGCTCCAGTCTGTGCTCCTCACACAAGGCAATGGCAGCCTTGTTGTCGACGTACACCACTGGAGGAGAACGAGGCCGCTCTCCAAGGTCGGTCAGCAGGTAGGTGAGCCAGTGTAACTCCTGTGCAGCCATGCCTGTGGCGTAGATCTCAACCTCACAACTGGAGCTGAGAACTGAAGACAAACGCGTAGAACGCCACGAAACTGAGCCACTGCCAAGGCTAAAGGTGTAACCCTGTGACGACCGCCGAGTAGCCTGGTCGTCAACCCAAGAAGCGTCTGAGTGCCCAGTGAGAACAATTGAGCTCCTCCCTCCAAGCACGAGCCCCGTGCCCGATGTACTGCACAAGTAGCGCAATACCCTCTTTGCAGCATCCCAGTGCACCTTTCGGTGCCTACCAGGAGCCACGTAGCGGGCGAGAAGGCCAAGAGGGTACGCTAGGTCGGGACGAGTGCAAGTCATCAGGTACATAAGGCAGCCAACTAGCTCTGGGTAAGGACCACTCGGCTCTACGGACTCAACCGAAGGCAGAGCTGAGAGCGAGTGACCTGAAGCCAGAGGAGTGGCCTGTGCTGAGGACAAGGTGAAGCCGAAGCGTTGAAGGACCTGCTGCACCATGTGTGACTGAGTCAGTATAATGGTGTGGCGTGCTCTGTCCCGGGTGATCTGCAAGCCAAGGTAGCTGTGCAGTTCACCCAGGTCTGTGCACGTGTGTCTATTCTGCAGCTTCGACTTCACGTGGGTGAGAGCCTTAGTGTCAGCAGTGGCAAAGACCAAGTCGTCGACGTACACGAGGATGTAGAACGGCGGCAGCGACGTGTCGGTGCGCAGAAACAGCGACGGGTGAGCAGTAGAAGGCACGAACCCAAGAGCCGCAAGAGTAGTCCTCAGTGTGTCGTGCAACTCACGTGGCGCCTGGCGGAGACCGTAGACCGGCCGCCGAAGGCTCCACTGGGTACCAGGAGGAAACGACCCAGTGAAGCCAGGAGGGCGGCGCAGCCAGATCTCCTCGTGCAGGCTGCCCTGCAAGAAAGCTGTGCTGAAGTCAAGAGAGTGAAGCTCGTAGTCACGCTGAGCGGCAACGTGCAGTAGCACCCAAAGAGTGGTCATCTTTGGGGTGGGGGAGAAGGCCTGAAAGAAGTCTACTCCCTCTCGCTGTCTGAAGCCTCGAGCAACGTAACGAGCCTTGAAGACTGGCAGAGAACCTGGCGGCCGCTACACCCTGAAAATCCACATGCCACTGACGATGTTAGCCCCAGGAGGGGGAACCTCGTCGACGTAAGTGCCACTGGACTTCCAGGATGCCATCTCTGCGTCCATGGCTGTCTCCCACTGAGAGGAGTACTCACCCGCGATCGCCTCAGCGTAAGAGCGCGGGGTCGGGATGTCTGGAGCATCCGGGTCTCCTTTAGGGGCAAGCAGCATTGACACGAGATGAGGCGCAGCGGCTGCACGACACTCAAGGTCCTTGTGTCTGTCCTCAAGGACGTCTGTGCCTAGAGCACACTCACCCCCGACGGACGGAGGACAGACAGACTCAGACTCAAAAACAAGACTCACCGCGTAGTGTAGACGACAGCAAGCAGCAAAGTCGACAAGCTCAGCAACTAGGGCAGACGCAGCGGCAGACTCAAAGGAAGGGTTAGTGACAGCAGCGGCCAGGAGACGCGTGATAGTAGGACTGGCATCACGAAGAGAGTCAGACTCCGGGTCAGCAAGGACAGGAAGTTAGGACGCAGGAGGAGACGGCAGAGGGACACGATGTGGAGCAGTGGAAGGACGCAGAGTCATATAGTGTGTGCTAGGGACAGGTGGAGGATGCTCACGCGGAACACGGCGACCAGTGGGAGCAGCACGAACAGGTGATACAGGATGAGAATCAGGCGACACAGGACGAGAATCAGGCTCACGACGCTCTGTAAGACCGCCTGTTGGACCAGTGTAGGGAGAAGGACCAGGAAGTGGCGAGGCAGGCGGTAGCTGTGACTGCGACTGGACAGGCGGAGGACACTCTAAGGAGGGAGGAGGACCAGGAGGAGGCGGCTGACGAAGATCCTGCTGAAGGAGCGGAACGAAGTACGGCCTCGGCCGTGAAGTGCCCCCAGAAGCAGCAGAGACAGCATGAGAACCTCCAGCCGAACCAGCACCAGCAGCACCTCCAGCAGCTCCAGTATCTGCAGCAGCACCAGCAGCACCTCCAGCAGCTCCAGGACCTCCAGCAGCTCCAGTACCTCCAGCAGCACCAGCAGCACCTCCAGCAGCACCAGCACCAGCAGCACGTCCAGCAGCTCCAGGACCTCCAGTAGCAGCAGGGCCTCCAGCGGGCGGCACCTCAACACCAGGAGCTTCACTCCGGAGGCTGCAGCGCCGAGCGTACCACTCACGTAGCCGCTGAGGGGAGGGAGGCTCCGGCTGCGACACCGCACCCGCAGGACCACCAGCCCCAACTCCAGCAGACCCCCCAGCTCTAGTAGCCCCACGACGGAGGCTGTAACTCTGGGAGTACCACTCACGCAGCTGCTGTGAAGAGGGAGCGCCAACAGGCGCAGAACGGTCAGTCTCAGAACCCCCAGCCTCAGCTCTTCTACGCTCACCACCCCCAGTCGCAACACCCTCAGGCTCAGTACCCTTAGGCTCAGCTCCCGTAGTCTCCCCACCCCCAGACTCAGTACCCCCAGTCTCCGCACCCCCAAGCTCAGCACCCCCAGTCTCAGTACCCCCAGACCCAGCACCACCAGGCTCAGCACGCTCAGCACCTCGCCAGGACCAGAGTCAACATCTACCTCGACAGGCTCGACCGGGTCTACCTGGGAAACACCTCAGGGAGCAGCACCCTAGGGAGGGAGGGGGTCTACCAACGTGACACCTGGGGTGAGGAAGAGCGGCGGGGGGGGGGAGCGGGGCAGTGCGGTAGGGGAAGAGACGGTAAAAGGGTACCGACTCGTCAAAGGTGACCTGAGAGGGGAAGACACGGCGCGAGGTGGGGTGGTAAAACTGCCAGCCAGGCGCGTCAGGGACAAAGCCAAGGAAGACACAGGGAACGGCACGGGAGGAGAGCTTGTCCGCGGACGGATCGCGGACAAAGGCTCGACATCCCTAGACTCGGAACACCGACGCATCGCCAACCTCCCCCGTCCAACGCAAGGTGGGCGAGGTCTCCGGAACGGAGACATGGGGCCAGAGGTTGAGCTGATGCGCGGCGTACTGCACTGCAAACGGCCACAAGAAATGGGGGGCAGCCGCATGGATCATGGAGGTACGAGCAACCTCCATGACTAGACCAATGAGGCGCTCAGCAACCCCATTCTGCTGCGGAGAGGCTGGGAGAGTGAACGTCTGGCGGATGCCGTGCTCCGCACAATAGGCTGCCAAGAGGTCAGAGGAAAACTCACCACCTCTATCAGAGTGCAGACGCAGGACAGGAAAGTCCAACTGGAACCGCTTGCGGAGCTGGAGTCGAGCAGTGCGGATCCAGGGGATCAAGACATCAGGGACCTCACCCTTGGTACGCAAGGGGAAGACCGTGGTGTAGCGCGTGTAGTCGTCGAAGACCAGCAGAAAGTACTGCTCGTGGCCCTGTCCCCGGACGCGGGCGGGGCCCCACACGTCCAGGTGGAGAGTCTGCAGAGGAGCCTCTGTGGGAGGGAACGAGGAAGAGTGAGGAGCGGCGCGCTGCCGCCCCTCGACATAGGGAAGACAGGGAGGAGCATGTGAGGGTGGGAGGGGAGGGAGAACCCTGCGAAGACCAGAGACAAGGTACCTGGAGTGCATGCCGCAAAGGCGCTGCACTGACGGGTGACCAAGGCGGTGGTGCCAGAGGACAGTCCTGTGCAATAGGGAGCGACACGAGCAGGGGGCCGACAGCTGACCTGACGCAGACGCAGACGCAGCTACCTGAGGGGACTCAGTGGTCAGTGTGTACAAGTCCGACCCCGGCTGCCGAGTGAAGGTAGCCAGGTGAGGACCCGTTTGGGCACACGTGCAGTGCGTCACACGCTCGTAGGCAGGGGTGAACTGGTGAACACCCGCGTCCTGGAGCGCGGAACCCGCCACCAAGTTCGTAGAGAACGAGGGGAGGTAAAGGCCCGACAGCGTGCCAGACGGGACAGCAGGACAAGGGAGGGCAGTGGTGGAGGTCGCAAGGACCGGACCCCCTGAGGGGTCAGCCAGGGAGACAGCAACCGATCTAGGAAGCTGCTCTAGGGCAGTGAGGTTGCGAAAGAAACAGCGGGAAGCACCTGAGTCCAGTGTGAAGGTGTGCAGTGCCTCAGTAGGCGCGGTACCAGCAGACGCAGACGCACTAGCACCTAGGGCAGCAGCCTCACCAGGACCTATAGCAGCAGACGCACTAGCACCTAGAGCTGCAGCCTCACTGGTCCCAATACCCGGGTCGGGCGGTACACTCAGGTAACAATCACCCTCAGCACTAATAGTCAATGCATACATAGCAGCAAGGATAGCATCATAAACAAGAGCAAAGATATCGATCCCCTTCTTAAGCAGATCAGCTCAGCGGGGCAGCTCACAGGCGTCAGGAAATTGCTCGTGCCAGGCGTCGTCGAGGCGAAAGAAACAGCGGTGCGCCGTGTGAAACCTCCCACAGGTCTGGCCAGTGCGGTCACCTGTGCGGATGACGTACGGGCAAGTACCCCCACCCCCAGACCCCCCACGCTGAGAGTACCACTCACGGAGCTGCTTGGGCGACTGGGTCTCGCTGGGACGCTGCTGCTGCTACCTCTGGCCACCGCCGAACCCGCCACGCTGCACCGCTCCACCGTGCCCTCCACCAGCTCCACCGCCGCCACCACTACCACCCCCACCCCCACCACCTCCACCACCGCCGCCTCCACCACCCCCGGCTCCGCCACTGCCCCCCCCACCACCAGCACCACTCCCACCACCGCCGCCACCGCCGCCGCCCCCTCCACCCCCTCCACCACCACCTCCCCCGCCGCCACCTCCGCCACCCCGGCCCCCCTTGCCCATGCCGCCCTTGCGCCGCCCACTGGGAGCGTACGCAGCTCCGACCCCCTCAGCACCTAGGAAGTCGACAACAGCAGCAGATGCAATGGAGGGGAGAAGGGGGGAGGGTGAACATCCCTCAAATAAGGGAGTGCGAGGGTCTCCATGAGAGGCACCTACAGCTACAATGCTCTTCTCAGATGCAAGGAGTTCCTTCTCGAGCAGGTCGACAGTGAGGTATGTGGGGGAGAGAGCGAGAAAGTGGTCCCTGACAGCGCGAAGAGAGTCAGGGAGGTGAGTGACTAGGTGGTAGAGGGTGAGGTACATCGGCGGGGGGTTCTTGGCTAGGAAATCGGGGGGGAGCGCGGCACGATAGCGGAGATCACTAGTACGGAGGTGAGTGCTGAGGTCAGCTACAGTGGCAAAGGCAGACAGATCCGGGAAGAGATTGGGCAGTGAGAGACGGCCTATCGCAGCAGTAGCAGGGGAGGAGTAGGGTGCAACTACAGCATCGTACAGCTCCTTAGCGGTCTTATGCTGGCCGAAGTGCTCGCGCTCATCTAACGGCAGGTGACTGTTATAGTCACAATAGGCTCCAATGTGCCTAAAACGAAAGATAGAGTGCACAGCCGGATTTCTGCACAGCGGCTTCAAACGTTCATAGCGTTCTGGTCACAACTTCAAATGACCTGTTTCAAATTGGATCTGGAGCGTCTAAACGTCGCCTACAATAGGCAATTTAGATCGCACAATTGCACCAAGTATTGACGACACAGTGTCGGTTTGAACGAACAGCACTATGGCAGCCACTATGGTCTTAGAACACAAAATAGGAAGAGATATGAAGAGTTACGAGTTGGGAATGACTCCCAGCTCCTACAAACCCCAGGAGCCGAGGTACAGTGATGTGGAACAGTGCCACACTGTCCCCAACCACGAAGGGTCTCGAAACTACCCTTCACTAGGGCCTACACCAAGTGAAATGTTACACTACACAAAGTAATGTAACTATCTTCAATATCTTGAGGTGTACCCTTTTGGCGAGCTTCGAAATCACTTGAGGCTTGACACCAAGGCTCGGGCTCTTCATCACAAACTCATCCTTGAGTTCTTGATGGGTCTGCTGCACACACCTGCGACACACCGAACGTTCGACACAGGACAAAATAGAAACCGCGCACGACAAAAATAAAAACCGCGCGCGAGACACAAACGACCGCGTAACACGCGTCTAGCGATAACTCGCTATTGACTCGACACACACACTCGACATCAAGACTCAACATTCACACACAATTATAAGCATGAAATATATATTATCCCATGGCCTCATACCATTCCATACACACACACATGCACGCACACGGACAACAAGCCGAGTGCAAACCGTAGGGTTGCACCAACAGTGACTGCAAACGGCTAGGCGAGCATGGGCGTGACGAGTCTGCCACTGTAAGCGAGCAGTACTGTCAGCCGTAGCAGCAGGTGCGGGGGCAGCGCCGGACGTGTGGTCATATAGGGAAACGTCGTCCTTGGCAGTGATCTGGAGGAATAGGTGTAGGTCATCGAGCCAGACATCAAACTTAATCGGTCGGCCCTCTGCGTCAAAAGTGAGAACACTGGGACTGGCCATAGTTGCACTAGCAGTAGCAGCAGTAGCACTAGCAGTAGCAGTAGCAGCAGCAGTAGCAGTAGTAGCAGTAGCAGGAACAGGAGCAGTAGGTGCTGCTTTGGGGCACCGCGGCTCGGTCAATGCGGCGCGATTCGGGCGGCGCGACTCGGGCGGCGCGGCTCGGGCAGGGCGGCGCGGCGCGGCTCGGACTAGGCTACGCGGCATGGCGCGACGGTGGGCCTGCGCGCGGGCGGCTGTAGCGGGCGGTCCGTGGCTGTGCGTGGGCTGCAGTCGAGCGCGGGCGGCGGCTTTCGAGGGCGACGCGGCGGCCAACGGGCGGGGCTGCGGCGCTCTGGACGGCCAGGAGGGCTGGTCGACGGGCGACTAGCGGGCTGCTCGTGGCGGCGCTAGTCGCGCGGGCGGCTAACGGTCGGCGCGCGCGCAGAAAAGGCCGCGCGCGGGCTGCTAGCGGGCTACGTGCGCTAAAAAAAAAAAAAAAAAAAAGGCCGCGCGCGGCACTAGCGAGCTGCGCACGGGCAGCAGGAGAAGGAGAGGCGCTCGAGGGCGCTAAGTCGATACGGCGCTCGAGGGCGCTTCTAGCGGTGGGCCCTTAGGTAAGTGGTCCTAGGTCTAGAACCTAAGCTCTTAATACCATGTTAGAAACAAGAAGTGATCAACTAGAAACATTTGGGAGTACAAGTATGAAACCCTCGAGAAATGTACCCCCTAAAGGCTAACCCACTGTAGCCTACAAAACAGAAACATATACAATGTTTGACAGCGGAGACTCCGGCACTCTCCGTGCTTCTGACACACGGAGTGCCTCGATGAGACGGGTTATCTCGGCGGTGAGCGACGCGATGGTGCCGTCGTGCTTCTCGACCTCCTTCTGGAAGTCAATCTTCTTGTTGGCAGAGCGCTCAATCTCGTACTTCAGCGTCTCCTTGAGGGACATGTTGTAGTACTCGGTGTCCAAGCGGACAGAGATTTCTTGCAGTGGTAGGACAAAGACGTTAGCTGCGAGGTGGCTTCGAATACACTCGATACATCTCGTCGCCGCATTATTGTCGACTTACCTCTGCCTGAATTTGGGTCAGGTTTTGGCGCTTGTTGATCGTTTTGGTGTTGATGCTCTCGACCCGTTTCGCCCAGTGTTGGAAGAGGGGTATCCGGCAGAGCTTGGAACCTTGGACGTACGGGTGCCATGGTGTGCGGACCAGCCTCACCGCTAGGTCCTCAGCGACGATGCAGCGCAGCATCTGAAGGGTACGCCAGAAGTGCACGGTGGCTTTGTCGGCGTCGGACCCCTTGGCAGCGAGATGTTCCGCCTGCAATTCGTCATATGCATTGGATGTTCAAGTACGGACGGCAACCCGACACGAAGACAAGGCTACGTTGGCGTCGCTTAACATACCTTCTTCAGCATGGCGTCAACGGCGGGGAAGATGTGCTCGGCGATGAGCTTCAAGAGCTTCTCGGAGGGCGGCACCCCACTCCGACCCAAGAAGTAGTCCTGCTTGTAACCAGAGTAACCGGTCTTCATCATCACCACCCCCACCGGAATGGCGGTGATGTACGCTCGCGTCATCTTGTCGAGCGCCCAGTGACCCAGCTCCGCGATCTCGGCCCGCGGCGTGCCTTCGATGGCCAGCTCCTGGGCCCCTCCTGCTCGAGCGGCGTGCACGTTCCTCTTGCGGAACACCTTGTTGGTGTCCCACATCTGCCGCGTCCAGCGTTGGTGGCTTGCCGCTGTCAGAATGTTATCTTATGCTCTAGCTTGTAGTGGGGTGCTCTATAGCGAGTACAACCCTTCTAGGGTTTGCTATTTGTATCCTCATTCTTGCTAGTGCAGCCCTCTTCTCTCTTCTAACTTTTACATGCTATCAGAGCAGGTCGATCCCCTTGGATCGATCCTGTGGGTGGGCTTACCACCTCGTTGCTTCCGCTGCAACTGCTACTACTACTCTCTGTGCCGCACGCCCGGTGGCGTGTGGCAGTTTTTCTTCCCGCCGTGCGCCCCGAGGCGCGCGGAGGTTTTCTGCCCGCCGTGCGCCCCGAGGCGCGTGGCGGTTCTCTGCCCGCTGTGCGCCCCGAGGCGCGCGGCGGGCTTCTGCCCCATCCCTCGGCGCGTCGCCCACGGGAGGCGTTGCGACGGGCGACGGGGACCCGCGCGTCGCCCCCCGTCGCCCGTCGTGGCCTGCGCGCCGCCCGTACAGGCAGCGTGCGGCCCGTACGGACTGCGCCAGGACCAGCCTCGCTCCGGCCATGCTGCGTCGCCCGTCGCGGCGCACCGAGGGCACGTGCACCGCCCCCCCCCCCCCTTTTCCCGTCGCCCGTCGCGGCTCCCTCGGGGGCCGCCTGGGGGAGGGGGGCGAGCGCCGCCCCTTCTGCCGCCTGTTTTGGCGCCCTAGGAGGCCGCGCGTCGGTCCCCCCCCCCCCCTCCCCCGTAACCTCCCTACCCGCCATCCCGCCCTGCCAGTGTTGGGTTTGGGGGGTGGCGAGTATGGGGGTGGCAGTTGTGCATTCCTCCCTTTGCTCCTCCTCCTCCTTCGTCTCCCACTGCTGCAGCTGTCGCTGAGGGGGGTGGATAAGTGGGAGACTGGGGTTTAGGGTTTAAGGGGGGTGCGTGGGAGTGGAGCTAGGGTTTGAGCAGTGGGCGTGTGCCGAGAGTGTGGGACAGTTGGGGGAGGTTGAGTGGAGGCAGCAGTCTTATCGTCAGCAGCAGCAGCAGTCCGGAGGCTACAATCTCCGGTAGTCGCCAGTCGCCCGTGGGTCCGTTGCTCGTCTGCCGCTACTATTAGCCGCGGGGCCAGTTACTCCAGTAGTCCGGAGCGCTGTTCCGGTAGCCACTGAGCCAGCAGCTTGTCTGTTTGTCTGCGCCGTCAGCAGTCCCCTCCCATCTTCTCTCCCCACAGCTCCTCCTCCTCCTCACTTGTCCGCTGTGATTAGCTCTAGCTTTGCTCATAATTGTGAACTTTTAAACTGTTGATCCTTGTACTTGTGCTCAGAATGTGTGGTGACATTGTGATCCACCCTGAGCTTGTACTGCTTTGCTTGCTCTGCTGATTACACCCCACTTTGGCTATGGGGGTGTGTCAGAATGTTATCTTATGCTCTAGCCTGTAGTGGGGTGCTCTATAGCGAGTACAACCCTTCTAGGGTTTGCTATTTGTATCCTCATTCTTGCTAATGCAGCCCTCTTCTCTCTTCTAACTTTTACAGCCGCAGAGAGCTCATTTTGGTCGGCGTCGTTGCGGGCAAAGAAGAGATGCTTCTTGTACCACCGCTCGCGCTCGGAGGTGTCCAGCGGCGGAAGGAAGTCAACGCCGTGAAATTGACCGATCTGGTCGAGGATGAAGTGCAATCGCAGGCCGGTCTTGCCAACGGCACACAACTCCGCTTCGAGGTGCCACGCCGCGTAGCTCTGATGAAGACGCGCATCCTTGGACGTCTTCGAGTTCCACGCAGCGATCACCATGACGACCGGCTGGTTCTCCAGGTTCACCGACGAGGTGCTCGCCAGCCGGTACAAGAAGATGTCGGGGAGTGTGATCTCGCGGATGCTTGCATCGCGTAGGAGAGTGTGGTGGGAGAGTAGCGTGAGCACCTTCACGAGCAGAAACCTCTACAGAGTCTGTGAAGGAGTCGTTGCCCGCGGGTTCCACGCCTTGGCCGCCCACGTCGGCAGCACCCTCATCATGATCTGGCAAAACTGTTCGGCGGTGTAGGCATCGCCGATGGTTCCGCGACGCTGGTCAGCGCAATTCCTGCCCACAAAGCCAAGGGTAAGGGTTATTTAGGGCGGCGTCGACTTCAGAGTGTGGATGACAGGGGTTAAACCTCAACTTACTTGATGTCCCGCTCGTTCTTGGTGCGAATTATGAACCGCACCTCTGATCTGACAACCGATATCTCCCGCATGATGCTCAGCTCCGTCTCCCGGTAGAGCGTCGCCTCCACTCTCACTGCCATCTGGCATGCCTTTATGCGCCCGAGGAGCGTGTGCACCGTTGTAGATTGCACAGGCTGGGTTCCGTGGCGTTGTTCCCCTCCTCGATGGACTCGGCGTCGAGCTTACACTCACGAACTATGAACTTCCCGAAGGCGCGAAGCCGGGTCTTGGTGACCCTAGGGCCGTGCAGCCACACGTACGCCTGGGGGACATCGGCTTCTTTGTCCCAATTTTTCTTCTTGTTGTTCCGGATGTAGTGGCCTATCTCGTCGACGTGCCTAAGCCTGTGCTCCTGGGGAAGTTTGTCGCGTGTTTGCCTCAACATCTTCGCCGCCCACCTCTTGTAGTGGTAGATCCATGAGGTGTACAGCCTCAACGTGCTGTTCTTTCTCCAAGGTTTGCAGGTGGCGTAGGGCGTCCATGACGAGCACGTCAATGCACGCGTAAACCATGTCTTCCTCGACGAAGTCTGCCGCCCTCCATTGTTCGTGCGGCACCAACATTTTCTCCTCGTCCTCATCCTCGTCCTAGCAGTTGATCTATGTATTCAAGTTCCCGCCTGAGTCGTTCTTCCAAGGTGCGCGGATTAGTGCTACGCTGTGGACGCTCGTCGCTTTCGTCATCGCTTTCCTCCTCCTCCTCCTCCTCCTCCTCCTCCTCCTCCTCCTCCTCCTCCTCCTCCTCCTCCTCCTCCTCCTCCTCCTCCTCCTCCTCATCCTCGTCATCAACCCTGTTTTCTGAGCCGGCCGGTACCGACGAAGTTCTTGGCTGTCCATTTTGGGTCGGAGTCAATCTACTAGCGCGCTTCGTAAAGATCGGCGGTGGGGGAATGTCCCTGGTGAACTCCCCGTCTGGAATCTGCGTCAGCGCGTCAAGATCTTAGAGTAACTTGAGCGTCTCTTCCTGGGTAGAGGTCGGATTGTGGTCGGTTGGGGGACCCGCGTCGGACATGTCGACGTTGGCCATGTGGCAGCTTGTATGTTGCTCTACCGTCGTCCGTGTGCGATGCGGAGGTTGGTAAACCATAGACGGTACTGAGTCACGGGTGCGGTGTACGCCGAAGAGTTGCGAGACGGTCTTATTCAAATTCTGACTCAAGTGCGTCTAACTCAGCTTCGACCTCGAGACGTTCAAGCTGCGCTTTGATGTCGGCGTCTACTGAGTCGGCGAGGGGTGGGATGGGTGGCGGCTGTTGGGCTCTAGGGCGACCTCTGGCCATGCGTCGCCGACTTGCTAGGTCGGCCGTGACCGACGTTGCCCTAAAACATATGACGTCGATGTCGACGAGCACTGAACTCTCGTTTACCTAAACATCGACCTGATTGGTGGGTGCCAGGTAGAAGCAACATGTGCCGACGTGATCGATTAGTCGGCAACCGAGTAACCTACAGGCGCGATGATAGACAAGCAGTGCTGAAAATTCTAAGTGCACGAAAGAACAGGAAGGGACGCAGGAACGGACAAGGGAATTGAGCACATGCGCAAGGTCACGGAGGGGTATGGTCCTTAGCGACTCCGATGCTGCCGCGCTTCACGCAACCCCCTATGCTTCTGCCGCTATGCATGTGTTCTTGTGCGGCGGCGCAGTGTTCGACTTGCCACGTGCCAAGCATGGCTAACGGGACGCCGCGCTGCACCCAAGTGGCGTAAGCCTGGGCCATTCCACGGTAGAATGTGTCAGAATCTTAGCTTGGCTAAGGAGCCATAGCTAGTGAGAAGTTCGAGTGAGTTTGAGTTAGGAGAGTCGAGAAAGTTGAAAAGAGAAGAGGAGGCGTTTCACTATAGAGCGAGCAGTACATATAGGCAAGATGAAAGTTGCACCACCAAAACAGAACATTATATAACTACACTAGTCTACACTACAGGCAATTACAAAACAATATATAGATTTATATATTATTCTGACACGCCCCCATAAGTGCCTGTAGGGAAGAATATGCAGTCAACGCCCCCATAATGGGGTACACCAAGAGTGCGTAGCAGTACGGGAGAGGGCAGGCAAGGAGGAGGAGAGAGGGAGAGAGAGAGAGGGAGAGAGAGGAGAGGAGGTGATAGGCTCTGGTTGGTCACCACATACATCCCCTCATCCTCCCCCTCCCCCTCCCCTTGCTGCAGGAGCAGCAGAGGGGGGGACAAACGGAGGAGAATGGAGCCGTAGGGCCAGGGGACCACACTCACCCATCACCCCCACACCCGCCACCCCCAGTCCCTCCCCGGGCTCCCCACACTCTCACACCCTCCCCCCAGCAGCAACTGCAGCAGAGGGAACAAAAGGAGGAGGAGAAAGGGGGGGGGAAGGGGGGGGGGGGGGGGCCGACGCACGGCCTCCCCGGGCGCCAAAGCAAGCGGCAGAGGGGGCGACGACTCCCCCCCCCTTTCAGGTCGCCCCTCCCGCCACCTGTCGAGGCGACCTGAGGGGGCCGCGTGCGGCCCCCGAAGGAGCCGCGATAGGTGACGGGAAGAAGGGGGGGGGCGGGACCGCAAGTGGGCGGTGCCGAAGTGGGCGACGGGGCCGCAAGGGTGGGCGGGGCCGCAGGTGGCGACGGGGCCTCAGTTGGCGGGGCCGCAGGTGACATCGGGGCCGGGGCCGAGGGCGGCGACGGGGCCGCAACAGAGGGCGGCGGGGCCGCAAATGTGGGCGGGTCCGCAGGTGGCGACGGGGCCGAAGGTAGGGCGGCGAGACGGCCGCAGGTAGGGCGGCGGGTAGGCCGCAGGTAGGGCGGCGGGACGGCCGCAGGTAGGGCGGCGGGTGGGCCGCGACGGAGTGGCGGGGCCGCTCGAAGGAGTGGCGGGGCCGCGACGAAGTGGCGGGGCCGCGCGAAGGGGAGGCGGGGCCGCGACTAAGTGGCGAGGCCGCTCGAAGGGGTGGCGGGGCCGCGACGAAGTGGCGTGGCCGCTCGAAGGGGTGGCGGGGCCGCGACGAAGTGGCGGGGCCGCGCGAAGGGGTAGCGGGGCCGCGACTGGGTGGCGGGGCCGCTAGAAGCGAATAAGGGGCACGCCACGGGGCGTGCCAAACACAGAGTAGCAGCGGAAGCTTTAAAGTGGGGTCCACACGTCAGGACCTTGTCACTCTGATAGCATGTCAGAATCTTAGCTTGGCTAAGGAGCCATAGCTAGTGAGAAGTTCGAGTGAGTTTGAGTTAGGAGAGTCGAGAAAGTTGAAAAGAGAAGAGGAGGCGTTTCACTATAGAGCGAGCAGTATATATAGGCAAGATGAAAGTTGCACCACCAAAACAGAACATTATATAACTACACTAGTCTACACTACAGGCAATTACAAAACAATATATAGATTTATATATTATTCTGACAGAATGGGCGTGTGTTACGTGGCATGGGACCGACGTTGGTGCCTCTCCGCGGAAATTACGGCATGGTGACTTCCATATCCTAGGGGCCCTGGATTATTGAAGAGCCGCGTGGCAACCCTACCGAGAGCGCCTCGTGATCAGCGCCGACTACCATGTGGTGTGCTTTGGTGTGTGCTTCGCTCATTTAACCTGGACATTGTTGTGAATTTGCCGCGTGGCTCGATTGTGGGCCGTCGGATGACTAAGTCGACACCGACATCGCTTGCAACCCGCGATGCCACTGGACAGTTACATCTTTGACGGACCGAATTGAGCCGCGTGAATCGCGCACCAACAATTTTGGAGGGAACGTCGACTTCCCGCGCGAAACATTCACCCGTGGAGCGACGCATGGCTACGACGCCCACGTCGTGGCAGCCCTGTACACGTTGGGGACGATCTGGCTCTTCCCTATTGGGCCGCGTGGTAGCAGTCGTGGCTCGACGTGGCGAGCTGTCCTATTTTGTCCGCTGAGATATACTTCTCGGGTTTCTCTCAGCGAAACCCGAGGTCGTCAAAATGTCGACAATCCCGAGGGCTTCCGAGGCCCCAGGGATGCCAGTTCGGCCTAGTTTGCCGCTGGGATGTCGTCAGGAGCTCACCAATCCCGAGGGGGGCCCTTGTCCTATTAAAACCGCGAAATTGGGCGGCATTTTTCGTCCGCTGAGGTATGCCATCCCAAAACAGCTAGGCTTGGATGGAAAGTACATGTGGCGTGGCGTTTCATTGATCCCAGCCTTAGGACGTGGGCCCAATCGAGTTTGATCGCCTCGATCAGAAGCGATCAATAACTTCGAGGAAGCCTGAAACCAATTTCAGGCAATCGGGGGCGATCAGCTGATGACCCCAACTCAATCACACCCGATTTTCACCCCGATCAAACTCGATTTTGCTCAATCACCCTCGATCAGTTGATTGCATGTGATCGAGGGCCAAAACGAAGGTTGCGAAAGTTACACTGTTGAACTGTGTGTCGTGAATTATCGCTCATGCATGGCACATTGCGAGAACTCTCGAGGGGTTGACGATATTACAAGGAAACAGAGTTAGTCGCCAGGTAACGTTCGGTCGCCAATCTCGCATGAGTTGGATAGGAAGTTCCAAGTAATGTTCCCACGTTTGCCGAGTAAGGGCGCGTCTGAAGTGAATTTCGACGTTTGCCGACGAAAGTTTCGTCGACGTTCCTCGACGAAACTCGACATTTTTTCAGCTTTGTGCACTTCAGACACCCACACAACAAAATAACTCATACGTGCCATAGGAACGCTCATATAAGTTGCCCATGAAAATCCGACGTGGAATTGTCAGAACATGTCTATAGCTTATACTGCTGTGTAGGCTGTAGTGGGGTATCCCATAGGGGGTACAACCCAGTTAGGGTTTCACATTTGTACTGCTTTCACTCATAGTTCACATCATTCCTGCTTACTCATTTCACATGGTATAGAGCTAGGTCCCTCCAGGACCGAAATTTTTTTTGGGCCCACCGAAGCGCGCCCCCGAGGCGCAATTTTTTTTAGCGACCCCTCGAGTCGCCCTCTCCCCTGCGGCCTCGCCGCCCACTCTGTCGCGGCCCCGCCCTGCTCCTTACGCGGCCCCGCCGCCTGCTCCTTACGCGGCCCCGCCCCGGCCCTTACGCGGCCCCGCGTCGCCTCCTACGCGGCCCTTACGCGGCCCCGCGCCGGCCCCTTACGCGGCCCTTACGCGGCCCTTACGCGGCCATGCCGCCGGCTCCTTACGCGGCCCCGCGCCGGCCCCTTACGCGGCCCTTACGCGGCCCTTACGCGGCCACGCCGCCAGCTCCTACGCGGCCCCGCGCCGGCTCCTTACGCGGCCCATCCCCGGCCCCTACGCGGCTCCGCGCCGGCTCCTACGCGGCTCTTACGCGGCCCCGCGCCGGCCCCCTCCTTACACGGCCCTGACGCGGCCACGCCGCCGGCTCCTACGCGGCCCCGCGCCGGCTCTCACGCGGCCCCGCAGCTGGCTCCTACTCGGCCCCGCAGCCGGCCCCTTAAGCGGCCCCACCGCCGGCCTCCTACTCGGCCCTGCCCCGGCTCCTTCGCGGCCCTGCCCCGGCTCCTACGCGGCCCTACCGCCGGCCCTGACGCGGCCCCGCCCCGTCTCACTTCTACGCGACCCGAGCCGCCTGTCGCCGAGCAGCCCGGGACCCGAACCGCCCTGCAGCCGAGCCGCCCGGGAGCCGAGCCGCCCTGCACCCGAGCCGCCCTGCAGCCGAGCCGCCCGGGAGCCGAGCCGCCCTGCACCCGAGCCGCCCTGCCGTCGAGCCGCCCGGGAGCCGATCCGCTGTACACCCGAGCCGCCCGGTCGCCGTTCTGCTTTTCTGTCGAGCTGCGCGACCTGCCCTGCCTGGTGAGCACAGTCCCACTGTCACTGCGTGCTCTCCCCCCTACTGCTTGCACTGCTTCACAGTCGTCGTCATGGCTACCCCTAGTGTCCTAGCTTTTGACGCTGAGGGTCGCGCCATTGATTTTGAGGTCTGGTTAGACGACCTGCAGCTGTTCTTACAGTGCGACAGGGCTGATGACCTTTCTCTCTTTGACCTCACCTCTGGCGCCTCTCCTGCTCCTGCTGCTGATGCTGATCCCGCTGTCCGCTCTAAGTGGGCCACCCGCGATGCTGCTGCACGTCTTGCTGTGCGTCGCCACCTCCCTACCTCTGAGCGTGCGCACTTTAGTCAGTACAAGAGTGCTCAGACCTTGTACGACGCTGTAGTTGCGCGCTACTCCTCCCCTGCCACTGCTGCACTGAGCCGTCTCATGCTTCCCTACCTCTTTCCTGACCTCTCTGCCTTTCCCACTGTCGCTGACCTCATTACGCACCTCCGCACTAGTGACACTCGCTACCGCGCCGCCCTTCCTGCTGAGTTCTGCGCTAGGAACCCCCCTCCCATGTATATCGCTCTCTACTACGTAGTCGCGCGCCTCCCTGACTCCCTTCGCGTCGTCAGGGACCACTTTCTCGCAGTCTGTCCCACCACTCTCACCGTCGACCTCCTCGAGAAGGCCCTCCTTGCAGCGGAGAAGAGCATAGTCGCTGTAGGTGCTTCTCGTGGTGACCCTCGCACCCCCATCTTTGAGGGGTGCTCTCCTTCCCCCTTGCTGCCCTCTGTTGCCTCTGGTGCTGCTGCCGACCTGCTTGGTCTTGAGTCGGTCGGCACGGCGTCTGCCCCTAGTGGGAGACGTCGCTCCAGCAAGGGCAAGGGAGGCAAGGGCGCGGGTGGAGCTGGGGGGGGCGGTGGCGGTGGCAGCGGTGGCGGCGGAGGGAGTGGGGGTGGCGGCGGGACTAGTGGCGGGGGTGGTGGTGGTGGTGGTGGCAGCAGCGGCGGAGACGGTGGTGGTGGTGCCAGCGGTGGTGGTGGAGGCAGCGGCGGAGGTGGAGGCGGCGGAGGTGGAGGCAGTGGAGGCGGCAGCGGCGGAGGCAGTAGTGGTGGAGGAGGTGGAGCTGGTCGGGGTGGTCCCCAGCAGCGTAGCGGCGGTGGTGGTGGCCAGCGCTCGCACCGGCAGCAGCAGCAGCGCTCACGGGACATCCCTTCGCCTCAGCAGCTTCGTGAGTGGTACGCTGGGCGTCAGAGGGGTGGGGGTACTGGTCCCTGCACCTACGTTCTTCGTTCGAGCGACCGCGCGGGTGAGCAGTGTGGGGGTGCCCACGCTACCCAGCGCTGCTTTGGCCGCCTGACGGACGCTTGGCGTCAGCAGTTCCCTGGGGCTAGTGAGATCCCTCGCTGGGATGAGCTTCTCAGGACTGGTGTAGCGATCTTTGATCTTGATTTTGATGCTATCCTTACTGCTATGTATGTTGTGGATTCTAGTGAGGAGAATGAGGGTTACCGGTGTTTCCAGCCCGACCCGGGCATTGGTACTGCTGCGCTAGGTACTTGTGAGGCTGCTGCTCTAGGTGCCAGTGCGTCTGCGCTCTCAGGTACTGGTGAGACTGCGTTCTCAGGTACTGAGTCGTCCTCGTCCTCCCTCACTTTCACACTTGACTCCGGAGCTTCTCGCTCTTTCTTTCGAGATCGCACTACCCTTTCGCCGCTCGCCAGGCCGGTTGCGGTCTCCCTTGCTGACCCCTCTGGGGGTCCTGTCCTGTCTCACTTCTCCACTGTCCTCCCGTGTCCGGCTGCCCCTTCGGGCACCCTGTCGGGTCTGTACCTTCCCTCGTTCTCTACGAACTTGGTGAGTGGAGCGGACCTGCAGGATGGGGGTGTTCACCAGTTCACTCCTGCGCGTCAGCGGGTGACCCACTGCACGGAGGCTTGCACAGGCCGACACCTGGCCACGTTCTCGCGTCGGCCGGGGTCGAGTCTCTACACCCTGACCGTTGAGTCTCCTCCTGTCCCTGCGTCTGGTCAGGTGGCTGCGTCGGGTCAGGTACTTGCTGCTGCGTCCCGGTCAGGTCCTGAGTCTGCCCCCTGTTCTTGTCGCCTCCTGTCTCACGAGACTCTCCTGTGGCACCACCGTCTTGGCCACCCCTCCTTGCCCCGTCTTCGGAGCATGGCTTCCCGTGTCCTTGTCTCTGGTCTTCCCCAGTCTCTCCCTCCTCTCCCCTCCGGGCCAGGACCTTCCTGTGTCCCCTGTGTCGAGGGTCGCCTCCGGGCTACTCCTCACTCCTCCCACTTCCCCCCGACAGAGGCTCCCCTGCAGACGCTTCACATGGATGTGTGGGGCCCAGCCCCCGTCCGTGGGCAGGGTTACGAGCGATACTTCCTGTTGGTGGTTGACGACTACTCGCGTTACACCACAGTCCTCCCCTTGCGCAGCAAGGGTGCGGTCACTGAGGTGCTGATCGACTGGATCCGCGAGGCTCGTCTCCAGCTCAGGAAGAGCTTCGGCTCGGACTTTCCTGTTCTGCGTCTGCACTCTGACAGAGGCGGAGAGTTCTCTTCTCGCCTTCTGCGAGACTACTGTCGTGCACGGGGGATCCGCCAGACCTTCACGCTTCCGGACTCACCACAGCAAAATGGGATTGCTGAGCGCCGCATTGGCATGGTCATGGATGTCGCTCGTACGTCCATGATGCATGCGGCTGCCCCCCATTTTCTGTGGCCGTTTGCGGTGAGGTACGCGGCGCATCAGCTCAACCTTCACCCCCGGGTCTCTCGGCCTGCGATGTCCCCAGTCTTGCTGTGGACAGGGAAGGTTGGCGATGCGTCTGTGTTCCGTGTCTGGGGATCTCGGGCGTTTGTCCGCGACTTGTCTGCGGACAAGCTGTCCCCTCGTGCTGCTCCTTGTGTCTTTCTTGGCTTCCCCACTGACGCCCCAGGGTGGCAGTTTTACCACCCCTCCTCTCGTCGTGTTCTGTCCTCCCAGGACGTCACGTTCGACGAGTCAGTCCCCTTCTACCGTCTCTTCCCCTACCGCACTACTTCCCTCCCCCCTCCCCCGGACTTCCTTGTGCCGGTTCCCCCCCCGGTAGACCCCCTCCCCCCTCAGGTTCCTGCCCCCTCAGGTGTGTCCCAGGTAGACGCCGTTGACCCGGTCGAGGTTACTGGTGACTCTGGTCCTGCTGCGGGTGCTGAGCCTGGGGGTGCTGACTCTGGGGGTACTGTGCGCGGGGGTGCTGTGCCTGGGGGTGCTACTGCTGGGGGTGCTGGGCCTGAGGGTGCTACTGCGGTGGGTGCGGAGCCTGGGGGTGCTGAGCCGGGGGGTGCTGTGCCTGGAGCTGCTGAGCCTGGGGGTGCTGAGCTGGGAGCTGCTGAGCCTGGGGGTGCTGCGTCTGGAGCTGCTGAGCCTGGGGTTTCTCCTGCTGCTGCGTCTCGCCGGGAGCCCCTCTCTCCACAGGAGCTGCGCGAGTGGTTCGCTCGCCGCTGGAGGCGTGCTGCTGAGTCTGGAGGTGCTGCTGGAGCTGGAGCTGGAGCTTCTTCGATCGTCGAGGGTGCGGGTGCTGCCGGTCCCGGAGCTGCTGGACCTGCGGGTCCTCCTGGAGCTGGAGCTGCTGAGGGCGTTCGTGCTGGGCCTGCTGCTGTTGGTCCTGCCGCTGGAGGTGTGGGTGGCGCTGGTGCTGTCGCTGAGGGTGCTGGTGCTGTCCCTGCTGAGACTGGAGCTGCCGCGCGGCCTCGGCCGTACTTCGTTCCGCTCCTTCAGCAGGTTCTTGGTCTTTCTCCTCCAGTAGAGGGTCCACCGCCTGTCCAGTCGCAGTCCCTACTGGAGCCTTCCTCTCCATTGCCTGCTCCCTCTCCTTACACTGGTCCTACTAGAGGTCTTGCTGAGCGTCGTGAGCCTGCGTCTCGCCCCGCGTCGCCTGTTCGTGCTGCTCGCGCTAGTGGTCGCGGTTCGCGTCAGCGTCCTCCTCCTGTCCCTGGCACGCACCGGATGTCTCTGCGTCCGTCCACTGCTCCTCTGCGTGCCCCTTTGCCTTCTCCTCCTGAGTCCTCTCTTCCTGCGCTTGCCGACCCTGAGTCGGACTCTCTTCGCGCTGCGAGTCCTACTGTCACGCGTCTGCTTGCTACTGTCGTCACTGACCCCTCTTTTGAGTCCACTGCTGCGTCTGCTCTAGTCGCTGAGCTCGTCGACTTTGCTGCTCGCTGTCGTCTCGACTACGCTGCTAGTCTTGTTGCTGAGTCTGCGTCTGTCTGTCCTCTGTCCGTCGGGGGTGAGTGTGCTCTTGGCACGGACGTCCTAGAGGACAGGCAGGAGGAGTTACAGTGTCTAGCGGCTGCTTCACCTCATCTCGCGTCTGTACTGCTTGCCCCTGAGGGAGACCCGGATGCACTAGACATCCCGACTCCGCGTTCTTACGCGGAGGCCGTAGAGGGCCCCTACTCCTCTCAGTGGCAGGCAGCCATGGATGCAGAGATGGCTTCCTGGAAGTCCACAGGCACCTTCGTTGACGCTGTTCCCCTCCTGGGGCGAACATCGTCAGTGGCATGTGGATCTTCAGGGTGAAGCGGCCGCCGGGCTCTCCACCTGTCTTCAAGGCACGGTACGTTGCTCGTGGCTTCAGTCAGCGGCAGGGAGTTGACTACTTTCAGACCTTCTCTCCCACCCCGAAGATGACTACTCTTCGGGTGCTGCTGCACATAGCCGCTCAGCGCGACTACGAGCTTCACTCTCTCGACTTCAGCACTGCGTTCTTGCAGGGTAGCCTGCACGAGGAGATCTGGCTTCGCCGTCCACCTGGCTTCACTGGGACTTTCCCTCCTGGCACCCAGTGGAGCCTCAGACGGCCAGTCTACGGTCTCCGCCAGGCACCGCGTGAGTGGCACGACACACTGAGGACTACGCTTGCGGCTCTTGGGTTTGCTCCATCTACTGCTGACCCGTCGCTGTTTCTTCGCACCGACACTTCCCTGCCGCCGTTCTACATCCTCGTGTACGTCGACGACTTGGTCTTTGCCATAGCGGACACTGCTGGACTCGCCTACGTGAAGTCCGAGCTGCTGAAGAGACACACGTGCACAGACCTGGGTGAACTGCGCAGCTACCTTGGCTTGCAGATCACTCGGGACAGAGCACGCCGCACCATTACCTTGACTCAGTCACACATGGTGCAGCAGGTCCTTCAGCGCTTCGGCTTCACGTACTCCTCGCCTCAGGCCACTCCTCTGCCTACTCGCCACTCACTCTCAGCTCTGCCTTCGGATGAGTCCGTAGAGTCGAGTGGTCCGTATGCAGAGCTTGTTGGCTGCCTCATGTACCTGATGACCTGCACACGACCTGACCTTGCATACCCTCTGAGCATTCTTGCACGCTATGTTGCTCCTGGGAGACACAGACCGGAGCACATGGCTGCAGCGAAGAGGGTATTGCGCTACCTGTGCAGTACGTCAGGCATGGGGCTAGTGCTTGGAGGGCGGAGTCCAGTGGTCCTTACCGGCCACGCGGACGCTTCTTGGGCTGACGACCAGGCTACGCAGCGGTCGTCACAGGGTTACACCTTCAGCCTTGGTTCCGGCTCTGTCTCGTGGCGGTCTACTCGCTCGTCTTCGGTTCTCGGCTCCAGTTGTGAGGCTGAGATCTACGCCGGAGCCATGGCTGCACAGGAGCTTCGCTGGCTCACCTACCTGCTGACTGACCTTGGAGAGCCGCCTCGTTCTCCTCCAGTGCTGTACGTAGACAACAAGGCTATGCTGGCCTTGTGTCGAGAGCAGCGCTTGGAGCACAGAACGAAGCACATTGCTCTCCGCTACTTCCTTGCTCGTGAGTTGCAGCAGCGTGGTTAGTTGCGACTTGCGTACGTGGCCTCTGAGGCCAACACTGCTGATGTGTTCACCAAGGCACTTGCGCCTTGTGACCATCAGCGCTTCTGCACCCAGCTGGGTCTTGTGCCTGTCTTGCCTCACTTGCTCTCCTCTTTACTTTACTTGTACTGTGACATATATATATACCTGCTCTTGCTTGTCTAGTTTTATATATATATGTCTGTACTCTTGCTTGTGAACTGGCCTTTGGCCTTGCTCTTGTGCTCGGATTGTGTGGTGACTTTGTGATCCACCCTGAGCTTTGCTTTGTCTTGCTTGACTGGTCTTGTGACCCCTTGTTCTCCCCCACTTTGCCTATGGGGGTGTGTCAGAACATGTCTATAGCTTATACTGCTGTGTAGGCTGTAGTGGGGTATCCCATAGGGGGTACAACCCAGTTAGGGTTTCACATTTGTACTGCTTTCACTCATAGTTCACATCATTCCTGCTTACTCATTTCACAGGAATTAACAAAATCATTAATGTAACTCAATTATTTGTAATCTCGCGAATTTCGCTTAGCATAAATTGTTGCTAGTAACACCGGATATTCTACTTTCACATTGTCGCCGAAATATCTGTCAGAGGTCCACTAGTGATCCCCGATTGATCCTAGGGAAGGGTTACAGGCTACTTCTTTTTTGGCGTGATTAGCGCACTGACCCGTCATTTAACAAGCCTTTATCCCAATGGTATGGTGCTTGGGATTCTGACTTTGTATCAAAGCGAAGGTCTCGGGTTCGAATCCCAATGTGTGCTTTAGGCATCCCAGTGCGGGGGGGTATCAGAGGTCCACTGGTGATCCCCGATTGATCCTAGGGAAGGGTTATAGGCTACTTGTCCTGGGGGGTTATGGGCGCTCTGACCCGCTACTTAACAAGCTCTTTTATCCCAGTGGTTAGTGGCTGGGATTCTGACAATATCACCAGCACGTGACGCTATCTTCTTAGTTCTTAGTCATGTGTGTTTGCTAGCAGCTATATGTCAAACACTATATGTGTTGTTGTTGTGTAGGCTATAGTGGGTTAGCCTTTAGGGGGTACACAAAACTAGGGTTTGCTACTTGTACTCCAACTTTTCATAGTTCACACACTTCTCATTCTGACATGGTAGCAGAGCTTAGGTTCTAGACCTAGGACTCACCTAAGGGCCCACCGTTAGAAGCGCCCTCGAGCGCCCCATCGTCCTAGCGTCCTCGAGTGCCGTTCCCCTAGTGCGCCCTCGTGCGCCTCGTCTTCTCCTGCTGCCTGTGCGCGGCTCGCTAGTGCCGCGCGCGGCCTTTTTTTTCCGCGTGTCGCCCCCTAGCAGCCCGCGCGCGGCCGTTTCTGCGCACGCGCCGCCCGTTAGCCGCCCACGCCGCCACGAGCAGCCCGACAACCGGCCCCCCCTAGCCGCGCGCCGCCCGTGAGCCACCCGTAGGCCATCGCGACGCCCTCCCTCGGCCACCCGCCCGCTAGTAATGTCATAAGTATGAAACAGGAATGGAGAAAGAGAGGAGTTCACTAGCAAGCAGTTGGATACAAATAGCAAACCCTAACTGGGTTGTACTCGCTATGGAGCACCCCACTGCAGGCTAGACAAGATAACATTCTGACACACCCCCATAGCCAAAGTGGGGTGTAATCAGCACAGTAAGCAAAGCAGAACAAGCTCAGGGTGGATCACAAGGTCACCACACATTCTGAGCACAATTACAAGAAGCAACAGTTTAAAGTTCACAATTATGAGCAAAGCTAGTGGTAGTCACAGCTGGCATGTGAGGAGGAGGCAGGACCGTGAGGGGAGAGAAGATGGGAGATGTCGTCTGAAGCTGCAGTCACACGGGCAACAGGAGCGGCTGACACTGTGGCGGCTGACTCAGATAACTGGTGCAGCACAGGCTCTCAGTGGCTACCGAGGCAAGCACCCCGGAATACAGGAGTAACAGGGTCTGCGGCTAACTCTGAGCGGCAGGAGCAACGGACCCACAGGCGACTGGTGCAGCACGCTCTCTGCGCTACCGAGGCAAGCACCCTGGATTACAGGCACTGCGGACGACACGACGGCTGCCTCCACTCAACCTCCCCCAACTGCCCAACGCCCCTCTCACACACCCACTGCTACACCCCCCTAGCTCCACTCCCACGCACCCCCCTTAAACCCTAAACCCCAGTCTCCCACACATCCACCCCCCTCAGCGACAGCTGCAGCAGTGGGAGACGAAGGAGGAGGAGGAGCAAAGGGAGGAGGGCACAACTGCCACCCCCATACCCGCCACCCTCTACTCGCGCGGCCCCCGAAGGAGCCGCGACGGGCGACGGGAAAAGGGGGGGTGGGGTGCACGTGCCGGAGGTAGGGCGACGGGGTCGGGCCTGTAGGGCGGCGGGACGACGGGGCCGCAGGTAGGGTCGCCCGAGCCGCGCGCAGCCGGCCCGAGCCGCGCGCGGGCCTGGCGACGCCCGTACGGGTCGCGCGCGGGCCTGGCGCAGCCCGTACGGGTGGTGCGCGGGCCTGGCGCAGCCCATACAGGCCGCAGACGGGTCGGGCGCGGCCCGTACGTGCCGCGCGCAGGCCACGACGGGCGACGGGGGGCGACGAACGGGTCCCCGTCGCCCGTCGCGGCGCCGCCCAAGGGCGACGCGCCGGTCGACGGGGCAGAAGCCCGCCGCGCGCCTCGGGGCGCACAGCGGGCAGAGAACCGCTGCGCGCCTCGGGGCGCACGGCGGGCAGAAAACCGCCGCGCGCCTCGGGGCGCACGGCGGGAAGAAAAATGCCGCACGCCCCGGGGCGTGCGGCTCAGAGGGTAGTTGCAGTAGTAGCAGCGGAAGCGAGAAGGTGGTAAGCCCACCCACAGGATCGATCCAAGGGGATCGACCTGCTCTGATAGCATGTCAGAAGTATGAAACAGGAATGGAGAAAGAGAGGAGTTCACTAGCAAGCAGGTGGATACAAATAGCAAACCCTAACTGGGTTGTACTCGCTATGGAGCAACCCACTGCAGGCTAGACAAGATAACATTCTGACAAGTAAGGCCCACGAGTGGCCACGGCCCGCCCGCTACAGCCGCCCACGCGCACGTCCCCCAGGCGCGCACCGCTGCGTAGCCCAGACCGAGCCGAGCCACACAGCCCGAACCAAGCCGCGCCGCCCGAACCGAGCCGCGCCGCCCAAACCGAGCCGCGCCGCCCGAACTGAGCCGCGCCGCCCTACAATGCCCCACCTGCAGCAACTCCTGTTCCTGTTCCTACTGTACTACTGCTACTACTGCTACTGTTCCTACTGCCATAATGGCCACCCCATCCATTCTCACCTTTGACGCTGAGGGTCGCCCGATTAAGTTTGAGGTGTGGCTAGATGATCTTCACCTGTTCCTTCAGATCACTGCCAAGGACGATGTCTCACTGTATGACCATACGTAAGGCGCTGCTCCCGCACCTCCCGCTACTGCTGACAGTACTATTCGCTCCCAGTGGCAGACCCGTGATGCACACGCTTGCCTAGCCGTTCGCAGTCACCTACCGTTAGATGAGCGTGAGCATTTCGGACAGCATAAGACCGCCAAGGAGCTGTACGATGCAGTAGTCGCGCGCTACTCCTCCCCTGCCACAGCTGCCATAGGCCGTCTCTCACTGCCCTACCTCTTCCCCGACCTGTCCGCCTTTGCCACTGTAGCTGACCTCATCACCCACCTCCGTACCAGTGACCTCCGCTACCGTGCAGCGCTCCCCCCCCCATTTCCTCGCCAAGAACCCCCCCCCCCCCCCCCCCCCCCGATGTACCTCACACTGTACCACCTTGTCACCCGCCTCCCTGACTCCCTTCGCACAGTCAGGGACCAGTTTCTCGCCCTCTCCCCCACTGACCTCACTGTCGACCTCCTCGAGAAGGAGCTCCTAGCAGCTGAGAAGAGCATTGTCGCTGTAGGTGCCTCTCGTGGTGACCCCCGTACCCCCTTCTTTGAGGGGTGCTCCCCCTCCCCCCTCCTCCCCTCCATTGCATCTGCTGCTGCTGTCGACTTCCTCGGAGCTGAGAGGGTCGGGGCCGCGTCTGCTCCTAGTGGGAGATGCAAGGGCGGCAGGGGCAAGGGGGGCAGGGGTGGTGGAGGTGGAGGAGGGGGCGGCGGCGGTGGAGGAGGTGGGGGGGGCGGGGGTGGTGGCGGGAGTGGGAGTGGCGCGGATGGTGGGGGGGTCAGTGGCGGCACCGGGGGTGGTGGCGGCGGCGACGGTGGTGGGGGTGGTGGAGGTGGTGCTGGCAGTGGTGGCGGCGGTGGAGCGGGTGGCGGGCGCGGTGGAGCGGTGCAGCGTGGGGGGTTTGGCGGTGGCCAGAGGCAGCAGCAGCAGCGCCCCGGCGAGGCTCCCTCGCCCCAGCAACTCCGTGAGTGGTACTCTCAACGTGGGGGGTCTGGGGGAGGGGGTACCTGCCCGTATGTCATCCGCACAGGTGACCGCACTGCCCAGACTTGTGGGAGGTTTCACACTGCGCAGTGCTGTTTCTTTCGCATCGACGACGCCTGGCGCGAGCAGTTTCCTGACGCCTCTGAGCTGCCCCGCTGGGCTGATCTGCTTAAGAAGGGGATTGATATCTTTGCTCTTGATTATGATGCTATTCTTGCTGCTATGTATGCATTGACTATTAGTGCTGAGGGTGACTGTTACCTGAGTGTTCCGCCTGACCCGGGCATTGGGACCAGTGAGGCTGCAGCTCTAGGTGCTAGCGCGTCTGCTGCTCTAGGTCCTGGTGAGGCTGCTGCCCTAGGTGCTAGTGCGTCTACGTCTGCTGGTGCCGCACCTACTGAGGAACTGCACACCTTCACACTGGACTCAGGTGCTTCCCGCTGTTTCTTTCGTGACCGCACTGCCCTAGAGCAGCTTCCTCGACCGGTTGCTGTCTCTCTGGCTGACCCCTCAGGGGGTCAGGTCCTTGCGACCTCCACCACTGCCCTCCCTTGTCCTGCTGTCCCGTCTGGCACACTGTCAGGCCTCTACCTCCCCTCGTTCTCTACG